GTTGCCAGGGTGGCTTTGTGGGGCCTTATGGAGTTGACTATGTGGGTCTGGGAAGGGCTTGAGAATGTGGAAGGAAAGACTGGAGTGGAGCAAGGCAGAGGGGTTTCCCAGAGGCTGGGGAATGACTAGTTTCTGGAAAACTGTGCTCTTTTTCAATAAAAAGGAGGGAAGAACAGCAGTCTAGGTTGTTGGAGAGTAATCTTTACAAACCCATTCTGCACCAGCTTCTGGGTATGAGCAAAAAGATACTGACACTCCCTCCTCCTAACGAGCCTCCATTCTGGACTCATTTTCCAGCTTACTGGCTAGGAGTCCTCTCCCTGGTGGGGATAGGAGAAGGAACAGAGGCAGCTGGGGGAGCCCTGGCCTCTGTGGTCAGGCCTGCAAGACACAAGACAGACAAGGACCCTTTGTGCCGAGGCTTTCCTTACCCACTAACAAGTTCAGCCTGAACGAAAGTGTGAGGGGATGGAATGATGAACACACACAGTACAGATATCTTGGACATTACTTCTTCTGGGCTGCCTCCTTTCCAGCTATCCTCAGTTCTTGCTGTTCCCTGACATGGTCTCTGGCTCTGAACCTGATTTGTGTGCTCACCCTTTTTACCCTGTACTGTGGGCTGTAGGCAGCTGCAATATGCTTACACTTGTTTAGATATTTCTAGATATGTGTCTCTTGGGTATTGAGCAAGGACTACTTCTTTCCTGTCTTTTCACAGCACAGAGTGCAGGGTGTTGAATGGACTGGACAGCTGATACATTTAGTTGACTGATGGATGGACTTTAACACTCTCTTAATAGCTTTCAGGATGAGCCATTCCTGAGCTGCCACCTTCAAACCTTAATAGCAGCAGAGATACCTGCTCCAATCAGCATTGTAGACAACTCAAACCAAAAGGCGCATCCCATGATTTTCTAGCCATCATCAGCCTTCATTCAGCATGAGACTAAGAAGCTCTGAGGACAACTCAAGATTTATTTCATACAGGGCTGGGGATATAGCTCAGGGATAGAGAGCTTGCCTAATATGCACAAGGCCTTGAGTTCAATTCCTAGCACCACAAAAAAAGAAAAAAGGCCACGATTTATTTCCTGCTTACAAGATGAGGGCAGAGAGGAAAGAGATTGTCCTGTGTCACTTATGTAGAAGTGCAGGGTAGAAGAAAGGAAAGATGAGAAAAAGAAAGTACTCAAGGGAAAGGGGAGAAAGAGGGAGAGAAAAGAAATAGAAAAGAGAAGAAAGGGAAAGGAGGAAAGTAGTGAGAAAGAATGGTGTGAAAGACCAGGAAGGAAGAGAGAAGACAGGAGCTAGTAAGCCATTCAGACTTTGTGACCATGTTGAATCGGGAGGCTGGAGTAAAAGCTGAATTTGAAGTATAATGCCAAGATCCCATCTCACTTCCAGTAGTCACCTGCCTGCAGGCCTGGAAACACAGCCAAACCCTGGCATCCGTGGACTCAGAATGCAAGACTGGAGTACATGGGCAAATGTGCTCAGAGAGGCGGGGTCCTATTGAAGGCAGCAGCTTTAAGCAAGGTCATGAGCTTCCATAGAAAGGGCCTTTGCCAGGTCAGGCTGAGGATTGGTACCAGCCAAAAAAGTGACAATAATCAATTCTGTAAATGCTGTAAGCCTTGATTGAAAAAACAAAGAGGAAGAGGCTATGTTTGCTGCTTTCATTAAGCAGCATAAGCGGTGGGGGTCAGAGCTTAGCAAGACTCAGGAAGCATGCAGAGAAAGAATTTTAACCCCTCGAGGATTTTTAGTCCATAATATCTCTGTGCTCACCCACCTCCACTTCACTGCTTCATTCGCCTAACTTCCAAGGCCACCCTCCCTGTGTATCTCACACCTGAAGGGAGGACAAAAGGCCCCATATTATGCAGATCAGCTGGCAATTAAATGATTCATTATTTCCTCATCCTGGGTTCCCCAGGGCTCCTGCTGCTTCTGGAATTGGTCAGGAAGAGGAGTTCAGGGGAGTAAGAAACAAACTCTGTGACAAAATAACATATCTAACAGAGTGCCTGCCCCTTTGGAGCCCTTTCTCACTCTTCAGTCACCTCACTGGGCCTTCTCACCATATAATGAGGCCAGAGCAGAATGAGGAAAGATATGCAGCAAAATTATGATTGGAACCTTTCTCTGCTGTCTCTTCCTCCTGCTTCAGCATGCTCAGTGGAGAACTGATTCAGCAGGGAGCTCCCTGAAGAAATCAAGACAGAGGGCTGCGAGTTCTCCTCTTCTCCTTACCTCACCCTATCCATGGCCATCTCTCCCTGTCTGCTGGCTCTCTCTAGCCCTGCACTGTGGAGAAGAATGCACAGAGGACAGAGATCCTGAGTGGGGGCTGTGGGTAGAGAGCAGGATGGGGTCAAACCTGTAGCTAGCTATGGGGATTCCTCCTTGAGGTTCTGTGGGGAAACGTGGGCTGAAGTTAGGCAAAACAGTGGGGGAAGAAATAGATGGTCTAAAAGGCAGTCAAAGGGCCGGGGAGTTAGCTCAGTGGTTCCACCACCTGCCTTGAAAGCACAAGGTCAATCCTCGAGTTCAATCCCCAGTAGCCCCCCCCCCAAAGGCAGTCAATCAGGCAGGATGTGGATGATTTCACATTCAAAGGAAGAGGGAAGAAGTGGGGCAGGTGTATTCCTGCTCTCTAAGTCTCTGGGTATCGAGACCTGAGGATCAGGGGGAAAGCTGGAAGCTCCAGAGAAAGTAAGGAGCTACTGGGGTTACAGCCTCGGAGTGGATGGCACAACTTTGTAAGCAAAAGATTTCCAACAACTTCCACTCTCCTCCATCATGCTAATTATTTCTTATTTTTGTTCTCCTCCCTTGGGAAACAAAAGCAAGGCAGGGGAGAAAGAAAGATAAGGATGTGACACACTATTGACATGTGAAGCTGGATAAGAATGGAAGTGATTCCTACATTTCTAAATTCCCAGCAGGAGCATCTGGACAGAAGGTGTGGGCTCTCCAGGCAAACTTTGGGGGCAACAGCAAGGTTCTTATCAAGAAGAGTTATTCAAGATTCTGTTGGAAAACTTCATGCCTTTCTTGCCCACACAACCCTTGAAGAGCTGCAGAGAAAGTGGGGACCCAGTGACAGAGAAGGGAGACACCAAATGTCATGACGGGATCAGGTATAATCAGCCATGGCTGCCCCCAGGGAAATGAAATGGAATAGCTCATTTCCCCTATTTGGGGAAAAGGCCATATAATATTTGGAAGAATGCTGCCTTTTGCTGAACCATGGGCACTGTGAACACCCAACTTTCTGCTTTCTATGCCAGAAAGAAAAGAAAAGAAAGCCATGAAATTGGGAGGACAAATGAGCCTTTGAGGGAGTTGAAGAATAAAACTATATCTTCTTGGGGTTTAAATCAAATGCTTTGGACCTGTCAAGCCAAATCATCCTGACTCTTCACCCTATCACCTCATGGTTCTGTTAAAACCTTTGTGAGCTAACATGCCCTGCCACCTTTTCTAACTCCACAACAGATGGGAGAAGAAAATGCAAGGTTTAGCAGGGTGATGCTGGGGAGAAAAATGAGTGTTTCCCAGACCTAAAGCACACGAGATTGAATAAAGATGAGATTCTTAGCTCTCCCTCTCCCAACTCTTCCATTCCTTTAATATTGCCACCACCAGGGCCAGGTGCCAGCCAAGTGCTGATTTCTCCAGGGCTCTTCTGCAGTTTTTCCATCACCTGTCTAATCAGAGAATAAAAACTAACATGATCACAGCTTTCCCAACACACAGGATGGAATATTCTAGCCTCTTCATTTGTTCTTTCTATATTCCTAGTCCATGGGCCTCATGAGTGAAGAAAAAACTTGAAGTCCAAGAATTGCTGGATGGAGGTGGCCAACATTTCTCTTGAGACCCAATAAAAGATTTCAGTTATTGCCAAATAGCCAAGGGGAATTAGGGCTTGCAATCACTAGCCGTACCAGAGATTTAAAGAGGCATTACATCCAAATAACTACCGTGTGCCAGCTCTTCCCCTCATCGCTTTTCCCTTTGCACAACTGCCAAGCTCCCTGCAGATACCCTCCTCGAGTCAGAAGGAAAAGCTGTGATCAGACTGAGTTCCTGCACTATGACTGAGTCCCCCATTGATTTGGTTGGTTGCCTCTTTGCCCCCCTCACTGCAGGGAGAAAGGTGCCCACTCAGGCCAAACCAGAGTAATCTTCCTCCAATGAGCCATTCCTGGCTTTGACTCCCACTGCACCAGTTAAAGAGCCAGCTTGTTCATCTGGAAAATGCTTTCTCCCACCTTTATCTTCCTCTGTCGCCAGCTCCCCTGCCTTTTCATATTGCTCCTGCCTTTCAGCTTTATCCTCTGCCTCCTAAATTCCCTTCTATCCTCATTTTGGAACCGCCCCCTCCCCAAGCCCCTCTAAAGCTCTTAACAAGCCTCTTGGCCAATCCTCTGTCTTTTTTCAAATCTCTCTCAATTTAAATAATTTTACTACCTAAATTCCCTCTCAGATTTCCCTAACTTAAATCTTTTTTTTTTTTTTTTTTTTTTTTTTGGTACTGAGGATGGAACTCGGGACCTTGCACTTGCGAGGCAGGCGCCAGAACCGCTGAGCTAAATCCCCAGCCCCTCCTAACTTCCATCTTTCAGGGTTCCTTTTTCCTTCAGTTTCTTCTTCATTCCAACTTCCTCTCAATCTGTCACCTTTAAACCCTGCCAGTGTCCAGCATTCTCCGTTACTTAACAGCCTTTTTTCTTCTTCCTTGCCATCAGAGATACCCTGGATGAGAGACACCCTTTTGCTCCAGCACCCACAAACCCGTCTCAAACCCTGATACCGCTCTCTCCTTTCCTCCAAATCCCCTTGACACACTTCTCCCCAGGCGCCCCTTCACCCCTCCACTGCGCATTAGCCTAGTCCTTCGGACTCCTAAGCGCACCCGACCTCCCCTCCTCACACCCGCTTGCTTCTCCTCCCCACACAATCGTCCCCATCTCCTCTCCCGCACTCACTCGGGTCTCCTGCTCAGGACGCCCTTGCCGAGGGCAGCCGAGGATTTGTGCGGAAGGAGGGCTCCAGCGGCAGCGCAACAACTCGGGGCACGCTCCTTCTCCTTGTCGGCCACGGCCCCAAGGGTCACCAGGTGCTGGCGGGGCGACTGGGGCAGGTGAGCCCTGCTGACGGCGCCGGGCTGGGACTGCGCGCCGAGCTGTCCGTGGTGCTGAAGCGGCGGCTGCTCGGGAGAGGGCGGCGCGGCGACGGGAGGGAGCTGTCCGTGGTCTTGGAGCTGCTCCTGGGCCGCGGCGACGGCACCGGCGGCGGGGGCGGCAGGAGAGATGGACGCGGGAGCCCGCAGCGGGGCTGACGCCGGGGCCACGAGCCCGGGCGGAGGCTGGGCTTGCAGAAGCTGCTGGTGCTCCCACAGGCTGCGGTTCTCCGCGCTCAGCTCGTCCAGCCGCCGCTCCAGCTCGTCGATGCGCTGGCGCTGGGTGTGGATGAGGCTCTGCTGGTTCTGCACGATGGCCGTGAGCTCCTTCAGGTAGAGCACGGCGCGCACCGGGTTCTCCAGCAGGCTCTCCATGCCGCCCGCCGCCGCCTGCGCCCTGCCTGCGCCCCGGCGGCCGGCTGGCGGTCCTCCCCGGCGGCCCGGCCTCCCTCCCTGCCCGCCGCCGGCGCCGCGTCACTGCCACACGGAGCTTCACTCACGCACGAGGGGCGGGGCCGCAGCGCCGGGCCCACCCGCCTCCCGCCTCTGGGCTTCCTGAGGGGGCGCTGCTACCCGCTCAGCGGAAAGGGAGGGAGGCGGGGGGGGCTCCTGGGGTGAGGGGCAGGCTATAGGACCAAGGACCCGAGAGAAATTCTGCTGGCAAAAAAGAGACAGCCTGCGAAGCGGAACGGAGCTGAGGTACTAGGAAAATGTGGTGACGATGATAGAGAAGCAGACGAGGGAAGAGGAAAAGAAGAGGTGAAGCTGGGAGAAGGAGGAAGTGTAAAAGGGGCAGTGAGGACTGAGGGAGAGAGAAATGAGCTACAGGGCAGGCAGGGCTGCGACGGAGAGGGTCAAGAACTCTTTTTGCTCTACCCAGCCATCCCAGAGGCGGGAGCCCACCTTTACAACCTTCTGGCTCTCCTCGTTTGTGATCAACAATTTGTTCTGCTAGGGAATCCCTGGAACACAAGATCTTCGTATTGAAAGGCCCTAGAAAACGTGTGAACCTGCTGCTTCATCCAGCTGTGTGGGAGCAAGGTGGGAAAGCAATCCACGCTGGACGTTTTCGGGGAGTGAGATCTCGGGACCGTTTGGGGCTGGTCTGACTTCTGAAGAGATTGTTCTGTTTGCTAAGTAGTTAGGAAATGTATGGTTTTAGGAAACCCTGGGCTAGGCGAAGGTAAGATAAAAATGACTAAGATAGACTCTTTGGCTTCTTGCTTATGAATAATTGGATGAAACAGGCAATAATTAATTGCCTTATCATGTATTGGTGGTGGTGGTGATGGTAAGTGATAAGACAGATTTATGCCCAGAGTGCTGTGGAAACCACCACCAGGAGATCTGGGCAGTTTTCTTGGAGAAAGTTTACTCTTGTGAGAAAAGTTTTCTTGGAAAGAAGTGAGGCATAAGCAAAAGCCCAGAGATACAAGTCAGCAATGACCAAATCACTCATTCCTTCTGCAATGGTTGTATGTAAAACAACCACCAATTGCAATGTGATATACTACGATCCATGCAGGCTACACATAACTGAGGTCATAAGTTATAGTTTCTGTAATCAGGTAGATCACAGTGTAGCACAGTCGGTGTGGCATGCACATGGATAAGTAAAAAGGCACGTTGCCCACCTTGTAAGCACAAGGTCCTGAGTTCGATCCCCACTAACGAAAAAAAAAAAAAAGGGCAAGTTGAGGGCCAGAGATTTAGGGGATTTAGCTCAGTAGTGCTGCCATCTGCCTCACAAGCACAAGGTCCCAAATTCTATCCCCAGTACCAAAATAAATAAATACATAAATTTTAAAAAGGCGAGTTGAGATTTTTATAAGAGCACTTCAAGTGCCATAGGAGTTCAGGGGAGAGAGGTTGCCTCTGACTATGGTGATCTTAGACCTGATGAATGCTTCATTCAAGCTGATCATGAAGGATAGGAAGAATTTCGACAGGCAGAACAAATGGGGGAACAGAAGATGGGGAAGATATACCAGGTAGTGGGGAAAATACTAAAGACTGGAGATGGAGCCCTTTGGTTTTGTCTGGTTTGCCAGGGAAGTGACTTCTCTTCCGTAGAAGTGGTACAGAAAGGAAGCATGACTATGAATGCTCTTCACACGTGCTATTGCATTCTCTGAAGAGAAGGCTCAGCCTGCTCCGTTCCTATTTGCTCTTCTCCCAGGGTAAGTGGGTGGAAACTGTGGCATCCGGTGAGCCATGGTAAGTGGACAGATGCTGTGTACCTAGTGAGCTGGGTCAGTCAAGCCTGGTGCCAGACATGAATGACCTCATGGGAAAGAATTTGTTCTTTGCAGATAAACTGCTTTCTCTGCATTGATAATGTATTTTTATTTTGGTTTTCTCTTATTTATCTTCTAGCAAACTTCCCTTAGTAAAGAATGAGTGAAGGGGACTGGGGATTTAGCTCAGTGGCACCGTGCCTGCCTTGTAAGCACAAGGTCCTGAGTTCCCTCCCTGGTACTCTAAAAACAAAAACACAAACAAAAAAAAAATGAAGGAAGGAAACACATCTATAGCTGGGCAACTGTTGATTTGTTATCCAAGAGTTGGGTATTTGTAGACACCAATACCCTTTTTCCTTCCTTCCTTCCTCCCTCCCTCCCTCCTTCTCTCTTTCTTTCCTTTCCTCCCTCCTTCATTCCCTATCCCCTTGGTACTGGGGACTGAACCCAGGACCTTCACATTGAGTTACATTGCCATCCCCCTATCTACACTGAAAAGGGATCTTCTTGAGTCACCCAGGCTGGGCTCAAACTTGCAGTCCTCCTGCCTAAACCTTCCAGAGTGCTGGATTACAGGTGTGCACCACCACATGTGGATAGAGATCAATACTATTTCTACAAGTGGAGCAGCCTGGAGCATAATTATCCAATGAAGATTGATTAAAATGCAACAATCTGGGCCCCTTATCATTCCTGCTATACTAAATCCCTAGAAATGGGCCCATGTGTCTTCATTTTTTTCTTTTATTTAAAACAATCCAAATTATTGAATTATAACATATGCAACAATATGCACTCACTTTGAGTACACAGTTTAATGAATTTTGACAAATAAATTCATGCAGTTGCCACTATATTGAAAATTGCCATCATCTCAAAAAGTAAGTTCATGCTCCTTTGCAGTCAATTCCTCTTGTCCACACCCCAAGTTCACCACTGATCCACTTCCTGTCAATAGATGTTAGTCTTGCCTGTTACAGAATTTAGTATTAATGGAAATCATTTAGTGAGTGTTTTTTTGTGTCTTTTTTGCTCAACATATTGTTTTTGAGATTCATCCATCCACATTACAAGAATCACTAATTTGTTCCTTTTTATTTCTGAGAATATTCACAATAGATACACCATAATTTCTTATCTATTTATCTGTTGATGGTCATTTTGGTTGTTTTCTGATTCTGGTTATTTTGAATAAATGCTATGATGACTAAAAAATAAGTCTTTGTTTAGACATATGTTTTGTCAAGAGTAAAAATCTAGAATTGGAATTACTAGATTGTATGAAAATTTAACTTACTAAGAAACTGGTAAATTGTTTTTCACAGCGGTTGTACTATTTTTTATTTCCATCAGCAATGTATGAGGTTCAGATGGTTCTCATTCTTACTAACATTTGGTATTATCACCCTCTTTTTATTTTATCGAATTGAGTAGGTAAGTATAGTATATCTTTTTCCCCCATATGAGGATTTAACCCAGGGCCTTTGCATTGAGCTATAAACACAACTCTTTTTTTTTTTTTTACTTTATTTTATTTTTGGTACCAGGGATCCAACTCGGGTCCTTGCACTTGCGAGGCAGGCAGCAGAACCACTGAGCTAAATCCCCGGCCCAACTCTTTTATTTTGAGATGAGGTCTCACTGAGTTGCCTAGACTGGGCTCAAACTTTCTTTCTTCTTTTTTTTTTTTTTGGTACCGGGGATCAAACTTGGGCCCTTGCACTTGCGCATCAGGTGGCGAAACCACTGAGCTAAATCCCCCGCCCTGGGCTCAAACTTCCAATCCTCCTGCTTCAGATTCCCAGCGTCCTGGGACTACAGTTGTGCACCACCATGCCCAGCTCAATACGTCTTAGTATTATTTCCCCAATGACTAATGCTGTTGAGTATCTTCTCATGTGCTGATTGCCCATTTGTATATCTTCTTTGCCCACTGTTTCTATTGAACAATTGTTCTCTTATTGAGTTGTCTGAGTTTTTTACATATTCTGAAAAGTATTTTTTGTTAGATGTATCAATTACAACTATTTTCTCTCAATGGCTTGCTTTGTCATTTTATTAGTATTGTCTTTTGAAGAGTAAATGATTTAATTATAATGAAAAACTTACAAATTTTCTCTTGGTAACTGTTTCTGGTGTCCTACCAAAAATTCTTGGCCAGCAAGACATGGTGGCATACACTTGTAATCCTAGTTAGTCGGGAAGCTGAGGCAGAGGGTTGCAGCTGAGGCCAACCTGGGCAATTTAATGAGAGCCTGTCTCAACATAAAACAAGGGGCTAGGGTAGAGCACTTGCCTAGCATATTCAAGGCCCTAGGTTCAATCCTGAGTACTGCAAATAAATATATAAACAAAAAAAAAAAACCAAATAAGTTTCCTGCCTACTTGAAGGTCACTAACATGTTCTCCTATGTTTTATTCTGAAAATTGCATAGATTTTCCTTTATGTTTACATCTATGATCCACGTTAGGTTAATTTTTATGTTTGGCATGAAGAGTTAGGTTTCTTTTTTTTCCTTAAATGTTTGTCACAATTTACCACTGAAGTCATCTCAGCCTGAAGTTGTTTCTGTGTGGGAAGATTTTTAACAATAAATTCAGGTTCTTTGTTAGGTATAAGCCTATTTGGATATTTTATTTCTTTGTGTGTTTATTTTGGTAATTTGCATGTCAGGTAGGCAGAATGACCTCCCTCAGGTGCTGACATCTTAATCCCCCAAACCTATAAATGTGTTAATTTACATGGCAAAGGAACTTTAAATGTGTGATGAAGTTAAGGATCTTGAAATGGTGGTTTATCCTATTACCTAGGGTGAACCCAATATACCAAAAGAGTCCTTAGAAGAGGGATATAAGGGAGTCAGTTTCAGAGAGGAGATGTGACAACAGAGGCAGAAGCCAAGCCAGGCCTGACGGTGCACACCTGTAATCCCAGTACTTTGGGAGGCTGACACAAGAGGGTTGCATGTTTGAGGCCAGCCTGGGCAATTTAGGGATTTAGTAAGACCCTATCTCAAAATAGAAAGGTGGAAAAGGCTATGGACATAGCTTATTGTGAAGGCACTGGGTTAAATCCTCAGTACTAAAAAAAAAAGAAGAAAAAGAAGAGGACGTGGCGGGAGGAGAGGAAGCGGGAGAAGGATAAACAGAGAGATATAATACTGTCTGGGGGCCCGAGAGGCTGGAAAGTGAGTTCTCCCCTGGGACCTCCAGAAGAAACACAATCCTGACAATACCTTGATTTTACCAGGTAAAATTAGTTTTCAACTTGTGCGTTCTGGAGCTACAAGATAATAAGTTCATTGTACTGCTTTAGGTCACAGTGTTTGTGGTAATTTATTTAAACAGCAATAAGAAACTGGTGCATACCTATACTTTCAGTACTCTGGGAAGCTGAGGCAGGAGAATCATAAATTCAAATCCAGCCTGGGCAGCATAGTGACTTGGTGAGACCCCATCTTAAAAAAAAAGAACAAAGAACTGAAGATAGAGCTCAGTGTGAATGGAGGCTCTGGTTTCAATTCACAGTACAAAAAAACAAAACTTGTACAGTGTCTTTCAAGAAATATATCTATTTTGTCTGAGTTGTCAAACTTGTTTGTATGAAGTTACTTACATTAGTCTGTTAGCTTGATAATATATATAGGCTATGTAATGATGTCCCCCTTTTCTTTCTTTTTTGAGAGATACCATTTGGCATTCATTTTTAAAATGAATTTTATTGGTACACTTTAGATATACATAGTGATCACATTCGTCATAGAGAATTTGTACCTGTACATGATGTATCTTGATTCTTCTTTTTTCCACAATCCCCTCCCCTCCCTTCAACCCCCTTTTTCCTCCTTATTTACAAAAGCTTTGTTTCTGTCTATTCTTTTTTCTTTTCCTTTCCTTCTCTTTCCCTCTCCCCACTCCCTTGATCCCCTTCCCATTTGAACATTTTCTTCCTATTTCCCATTATCTGTTATACATTTTGGTCCTTATTTACCCTTTTGGTCCCTCACACCAGAGAAACAATGTGATATTTAAACATATGTGTCTAATTTATTTCACCTAAGAGTATGGTCTCAAGGTACATCCATTTACCTAGAACTAACTCAAGTTTATCCTTCTTTATGGCAGAGTAATGCTCCATTATACACATTAAAAAAAACCCCATATCTTCTTTAACCATTCACCTGTGGATGGGCATTTGGGCTGTTTCCAAGATTTAGCTATTACAAACTGTGCCACTATAAACATGGGTGTGCATATATTGCTGTGGTATGATGCTTTTAATTTTGGGGGGTAAGGTAACAAGAAGGGGAATAGCTGGGCCAAATGGAGCCTCTAGGTTTAGTTTTTTGAGGAATCCCATACTGATTTCCACAGTGGTTGCACCCGTCTGCACTCCCACCAGCAGTGGAGAAGGGTTCCTTTGTCCCCCTACCTCAGCCAGCATTTGTTATTGGTTGATTTCTTGATAATAGCCATTCTTTCTGAAGTGAGATGGAATCCCAGTGTTGTTTTAATTTGCATCTCTCAAATGATCAATGATTTTGAACTTTTTTTCATATGCTCTTTGTACTTCATCTGAAAAGTATCTTTTCAGATGCCCATTTTTGGATTGGGTCTTTAAATGTGGGGAAGGGGTCTGATTTTTTTAGTTCTTTATATAGTCTAGATATTAGTAGTTTGAGGAAAAAGTTTTCCCCACTCTGGGTTGTCTCTTCAATATATTGGTAGTTTGTTTTGCTGTGAAAAAGCTTTTTAATATGACAAGTTCCCATCTGTTGATTCTTTGTAGTATTTCCTATGCAAGTGGGGTTTTGTTCATAAAGTTTTTGCCTATATCTATGTCTTTAAGAGTTCTACCAGCCAGGCATGGTGGCTTATGCCTGTAATCTCAGCACTCAGAAGGCTGAAGCAGGTGCATTGACATTCAAGGCCAACCTGGA